CATGGGGGCCGGGCCGCCTCCTGGGGGGGGCCGTGGGGGGAGCCGCTGCCCACGGCCACGCCCCCCCTCGCCTTGCAGTCATCACCATCTTCAAGGGCAAGGTGGAGGAGGTGGAGCTGCCGGTGGACAAGGTGGACATCATCATCAGCGAGTGGATGGGCTACTGCCTCTTCTACGAGTCCATGCTCAACACCGTCATCTTCGCCAGGGACAAGTGGCTGGTGAGTGTGGGGCCGCCGGCCGCCCGGGCACGCGACCCCCAGCCTCCAGCCACGGCGGGATTTGAACTCAGGTCTTTGACGTGGAGCCCCTCCCCTTCCCCACCAGGACTTAAGGGAGGACTTGGGCCTGAGCAGATCTGCAGGGCATCTGCCCAGCCTGGGCCTCGCTTGCCCAGCCAGCAGGCTAAGCGGCCCCAGCTAGATCCACCACCACCAGGCTTCATTGGTTCCCATTGCTCTCCTGGGGTCCCCCACCAGTCCTCCCCCCCGGGTTCACCCGCCCCCATCTCTCCCTGGCCTGCCCTGGAGGGTGCCTGGGAAACCCAGCCGGGGACGGGGGGCCGCTCCGATGACCCCCAGAACAGTCCAGTCGGTGATGTCTCTGTCAGATTCCCACTTTCCCCCGCCATTCCCAACAGAAGCCAGGGGGCCTCATGTTCCCAGACCGGGCAGCGCTGTACGTGGTGGCCATAGAAGACAGGCAGTACAAGGACTTCAAAATCCACTGTGAGTCCCCTCGCCTGCCTTCTATTTCTGTATTTATTTATTTTTATTTTGGTCGATCGTGGGGTTTGAACTCGGGGCCTGGGCGCTGGCCCTCAGCTCTTCAGCTCAAGGCAGGCGCTCTACCACTTGAGCCACAGCGCCACTGCCGGTTTTCTGGTGGTTCCTGGGAGATCAGAGTCTCACGGCCTTTCCTGCCCAGGCTGGCTTTGAACCGCGATCCTCAGATCTCAGCCTCCTGCGTGGCTGGGATGACAGGCGGGAGCCACCGGCGCCCAGCGCCTTTTATTTTGTCTTTCTTTTGGTGTTGGTCTTGGGGCTTGAACTTGGGGCATCACACTTTTGCCTGGCTTCATTTTTTTGAACTTGGTATTTATTTATTTTGCTTAAGGTTGGTGCTCTACCACTTGAGCCATGCCTCTACTTCTGGGTTTGGGTGGATTCATTAGCGATAAGAGGCTCATGGGCTTTGGCTCCTGGGGTCGACTTTGACCAGAGATCCTCATGTCTCAGCCTCCTGAGTAGCTTAGGGTTACAGGTGTGAATACCAAAGTGGCTCCCGCCTGTCATCCCAGCTACTCAGGAGGCTGAGATCTGAGGATCGAGGTTCAAAGCCAGCCCGGACAGGAAAGTCCTTGAGACTCTCATCTCCAATGAACCACCAGAAAACTGGAAGTGGCGCTGTGGCTCAAGGGGTAGAGCGCCAGGCTTGAGCTGAAGAGCTGAGGGACAGCGCCCAGGCTCCGAGTTCAAGCCCCAGGACTGACCAAAAAACCCCCTCCAGTATATTATATATGTGTATATATACACATAAGTGATGTATACATATATAATACGTGCATATATACACATACATGTACACATATATACACACACGTGCATATACACACATATGTGTGTATATGTGTATGTATGTGTATGTACACACACACACACATGTGGGAAAAGTCAGGATGAAACCCCGAAACCCAAGCCTCCACCCTGGCACAGGACGCCCAGACTTTTGGACAACATTTCTGTGGAAATTCAACTCGGCTGTGGGGGGGAGGGAGGGAGGGAGGGGGGGGGCGGGGAGACAGCCAGCTGTGAGTGCGCATGCCCCCCCCCCCAGGCTGGTTGGTTCCAGCCCAGCGATTGGGGAGCTGGGGGTCTGCCCCCTGCAGCGGGTGGGGGTGTGGGGGGTCTGTGCCAGCCTGTAGGCCGTGGGAAGGCCGGGCTGCGGTCTTTGCCTGGAGCGCCCACCCCGTGGGAGGTGGTTATTTTCTCTGCCTCCTCCGTCCGTCTGTCCAGCCGTCTGTGCCCCGGGGCCTTTGTGAGCCTCAGAAAAGCAGCCTGAGTTGAGAGACTCTCTTCGGTCCTCCCCCTCCTCCCTCCCCCAAGGGGCGCAGGGGTCCCCCAGGGTGTCAGCGGGGACCAGGGGCCCTGGGTAAAGGAAACAGGGGTGTCACCAGGTTGCCCGGATGTGGGGAGCCATGCCTGGGCAGCTGGGAGGCCCGGCCGGCCGCCATTGGCCAGTGTCTCCTGGGCAGAGTGTGTGTGTGTGTCTGTGTGTGTGTGTCTGTGCGTGTGCTGGTCCTAAGGGGACTTGAACTCAGGGCCTGGGCGCCGTCCCCCAGCATTCTGTTCAAGCCTGGCGCTCTACCACGTGAGCCACGGCGCCACTTCTGGCTTTGCTTTCCTCTTGCCTTGTCTGTTGGAGATGAGAGTCTCTCAGCTCCCAACCTCCTCCTCAGGCCAAAGCCTGAGACAGGTGTCTTAGCCCTGCTGAGATCTGGCTGCCCCCGCCCGGACGTGGGAGGTGCGGGTGGGCAACGGGGGGCCGCACATGGCACCCCAGCTCAGGCTG